AGTATGCAAAGTTATCGTAACATAGATATTGAGACTAAAGCAGACGCTGTTCACAGCCGGCTTGATTCAAAAATCAGTAGAAAACTTCCTTTGACTTTAAAGGGCTCTGGTTAGGTCCAATATGAGGCATAAGAGCCTCCAAGGATTTATCTGTAGGTGCAATTAACAGTTTGCTTATGCAAATGCTAAGTGTTTCCGGAGCAGCATGAATGTTTGTGTTTTGTAATGTTCACCTGCTCTTTTGGAGCTTTACATATATTTGACTGCACTATTACAACACACTGCAGAGTAGATGAGAAAAGGCAAGAGGCTAAATGAAGGGAGAAATGAGTGGAGATGAAAGAGAGAAGAGGAGGTAGAAGAAGTCAAGAAGCAGAACCAAAAGGAAGAGAATAGAAAGAGAGAGCAGGGAGAAGTGCGAGGTGAAAGAGAAACAGGACATACTGGAGATGGCCCAGTATAAGCTTGATTTACTTATTGGTAAACTACAAATGAAAGTAAGGAAAGCAGACGAACAGAAAGATTAGTACAAAGATGGCAGTTCAAGCTCTGACGTTCGGATTTCCAGGTTCTTATCCCGTGGTGTGCGCTGGGAAGGACGAGAAGAGGAGAAAGAAGGGTAGTGAAATACTGAAACCAGCCACAGAGAAAATGTATTTCCCCTTCTTCCCTTGAGTGAAGGGAAGTGATGTAATAAAGCTAAATGGGTATATGGTGTGAAAGTTATGCCTGGTGACTGGTGCTGGGACTTCCTGTCGGCACTCTGCCGCAAGCCATGCGGGCCAGTCAGGGACCAAATGCTTTGGGCTGCTTGCTAGGAGTAAGAAAGCTGGTGGGGCCACATGTTTTGAAGTGGAAGGGGGCCTTGCTGCAAAGAGTTCCTTACAGAATATTTGAACGAATCTGGCTGTTAGAGTTTTTATACTGTGTTGGTTTAGTGAGTTGTTGAGGGATCTGGGGCAAACCAGTAAAACAAGCTGAGGAATCCATGCAGTAGGTGCCAATCTGGGTTGCTGCCCTTTTCAGAAGTAAACAACTAGGAGCCATTGTTCATCTTCCTAACTCTCTGCAGGACACAAGCTGTAAATTACATCTGGGAACAAAAGGTTGATGGGAGTAGAACCGGGTGCCCAACTTCCCAAGGGAGCGCTTTGCCCTCCAGCCAAAAGAGTAGCTTTTCTGGCTTAAACCAGTACAGGCTCTTCTTATACTTTCGCATCAGCAATTAGAGCCCACAAAAAGTGTGCAGGGCAGGATTTGCTACACTGAAGCATTTACAACCATTTCCATTACAAAATCTGGTTTCAGGGTTGATCATGAAAATTAAATCCGGTCTGAACTATAGCAAATAAGATTGCAGTCTAGGGACGCAGGAGCAAATCTGATTCAAAAATACCATATCTTATTGAGATTGCAGTTAAATGCGTGTAAAATCCTCCTCCTTCCTTGAAATTGTCTTACAATCAGTCTCTCAGCCCAGCTGCAGTCTATGCAGAATGCACGCTGCCACTACCAGAGTCACCTAATGAGATCTGTGCTGTGTATATGCGCTGAGATTATGTTCTACAGCTCCCCATGAACAACTTGAACTTTTCAGAAACAGAAATGTTCTGAAAAGGAATTTTTTTATCACAATATTTTTGTTTCTGCTGAAAAATAGAAAAGAAAAACGTTTTTCAAACTAGGAACTTCATTTTTACAAGTTTTTGTTTTTGCAATAAAAACCTAAGCAATTTTGACAGAGACAGAATTCCGTTCTTCCTCCCTAAAAATTGCTTACATTTAGCAATGTAAGCGCAATGTAATGTGATAGTGAAACCATTCTCCATTGGTGTATTTTTGTAATCACAATTTTAGATGCATTCACTTACTGGTCTGTGCGCATAATAAAATCCACACAAACGTACATTATGGGGAGATGCTGCTGTACTGAAGACAGTAGAATTTTGGCCTTTGATTTCAGCTAGTCCCGAATTTCATCCTCTAAGGGAATTCCAGCAAAAATATCTTTTTATATTGCTGTAAGCCACATAAGTTCCTCTTCTAGAGCTCCAACACATGCACTCTCTAATAGGATTTTTATCAAAATTAATTGGTGCTGGCTAGAGTTCACTTATGTGATAAAATCACAAATGAGATATTTTAGTGCTCCTGTACTACATTACACCATCATAGATTCTTTATCTGCTGTGTCAGAGGCTTCATTAAATGCTTCAAGAAGCATTTTTAAATTGCTGGTTTCTTAACATTTTAGTTGTATTATTTCATTCTATTATGAAAATCAAATTCTTTTAGTTCCATTTATTAATTTACAAGTTTTCCTTGCCACTAATTTAACTGCTACTGCCAAGAGAGTAAGCAAATTCCAAAAGCGCTAACATTTAAATATACAATCTGTGTTGATAACAATAATCCCACGGGAACAAATCCACAATGGGAATAAACTGATGGGCTCAACTTAAAATGATGCTGCGTTGCATTTTCTCAGCTGAAGATTTACTTTAGGATGCGTTCCTATACCCTAAGATTATCTTTAGCTAAAAGAAAAGCTACATACTTCTCAAAAAAAAAAAACCTATGGTACCCCTCTCCCAGAGCTGTCGACTAAATTTTCTGGGTAGCATCAGGCACTATACCTGGGCTAAATTTGTATTGCTGTCTACCTCAGGCCATCATATTTTAGGGGAAAAATTCCATGTTTGGGTGGGAAAGAAGGACATATTTTTGTGTCAGCTTTTTTATTTATTTTCTTAATGGCAGCTCTTTGAAGTGCTCAGTAGGTTGGAATGTTAGCGTATATCCTTGGCTAATGAATAACCAGGCAGATGGCACGTGAAATGGGCAAACTTACATGTTATATACATACAATTCATTACTTAGGTCTGTGGCATATCACATGAAATGCATACTATGATTAGTTATTTTTCTTGGGCACCTCTGTCTCTCTTGCATTAGGCGCTAACCCATCTGTGCACCTGGTCTAAACATGCCTAATCTCCGTACAGCTTTCTAGGACTGCAAGCAATAGAAATATTTTCCAACCAATCTCCTCCCCAATGTGGAATCCCCCCACTAAAATAAGTAGTGAAATGTCTAACATGCATATTAAATAATATTTAGTATTGAGAAAGTAACCTGTTCATAATCTGATATCACAAGGGCTGGAATACAGGAGCTTTACACCATAGAGAAACTAGGAATTTTCACTCCTGGTGAAATAAGACTTTTGCCTCTGTAACACTTGCCTAACTCCTTGAAATGATCGTTATTTTCCATTTACCTATGGTAAAGAAAACAGACTTCCATTTTCATTCCATTTCATTGTGAATACAGGATTATATGTTCACCAATTTTTTTTCTATCAAAAAAACAATACTGAAAGTTATCTAAATTGTAATTAAATATTCCATTCTTTTGTTTCATACACAGGGGTGAATTTTAAAAGTCATTTAGCAGTTGAAGAAAAAGATATGCTTAGTAAACTCAAAATATGTATTAACTGTGCTTTTTAAAATCTAGCCTCTAGGCTTTATCATATATTTAGACACCCACATAGCTATTGCTCAGAAAGTACAGGAATACACCAAACTATGTCTTTTGCAGTACAGTAAACAGTAAGTCATATATATAGATCATTTTTTCTTTGCTCCTCAAGCCGTTTGTTTCAAATGAAAAACTAACATATTCACTAAATAAAACATGTTTCATCCGCAACTTCGAAGTTGTAAGCTTCTTAATAAAAAGATCCCCTATGTTTTAAGGAAAGCTTTTCACTTTAACCGTGTCCCATCAGATATCCTAACCTGTAGGAAGAGCCTGTTGGAACCTGTTGCTAAAAATGTGCCTGTTTGAGGAAAGGATAGCCAGCCATCTTTAAGACAAAAGTCAAAGAAAAGTCAAAGTTCTGAAATCCTCATTGTGTAAAGTTCTCGTGCCTGTGGTTGGGAGGACCTGTCAGTATTTTTCCATTGTTTGTGTTAAAAGCGATTAAAAATTAATGAAAAAAATCCTTAAAAGTGGGAGGATCAACACAATGGTAATATGATACAGCGCTTTTCATTTCAAAGTTGCTGAGTGAAACTGGAAACAGGGCACTAATGACTGTCAGTCATTGCCACGTGTTGGTTGTTAAAGGTGAGATGGAAAGGGTTTGGTGATCCCTGACCAGCCCCTAATTCCACACAAACCGCTGTCGTAATTCCACAGCTCAGAAGAGAGGCGAGTGTATGGAGTAATTACGAGAAATCACCTTAGGCGCATAACAGATACACCTTTCCCTTATCTACATAGGCTTTGAGGTGTTCACCAGGGATTTCGTGTGGCATCCTTTGCTAACTCTAGACTTGGACAAAACATATGCACATATAGTCCTCAGGAACTTCTCCGAAAGTCACACTATTGTACGTTCTCCTCCTGTTTCTTCATTTTGGGAATTAGGAGTAGGAGGACTAATTCCTTCTATGTCTCACACTGTAAATACAAGAAATCAGAGACCTAAGTCCTCAGTATTACTGCTGGCACTGGCATAAGGTATCACTTGTATTGGAGCAGCCTGTGCCAAGAAGCCAGCGAGCTTGTGGAGACTGAACTACCTTGATTTACCTACTGTAAATCCCTCTGAGAATCTGAGATCCTCCAGATTCCCCCCCCCCCCACAAAAAAGGTTCATTGCAGAGCAGACCTTTTGCTTGCCCTAAATTGTACTGAAAAAATGAGAAAAAGTGGTATGAGACAAAATAAGCAAAATATTTTGGGGAAGCATCCAGGCAGTTGTAGATGCTTTGCTGGGGTTCAGAACGTGTGGTGCTTTACTTTCGCCTGTTTCGCAATACAGGTCAGAAATCAGAATAGAGATCAGAAATAGTCCCTTTCTGAGCCTAACTCGTGAGAGATTACACAAATGTTCCTGCAAACGCTATTGATGTAACTCATGACAGTACTTGTGTAAGTCGAAGAGGTTTAGTGCCTCTTTAAAACTCGAATGTGGCTGCTGGGACAGGAGAAGTAGCCTTCCCCCCCTCCCTTTCTTCCACTGCTCCGACACTTTTGTTGCAACTATGGGTGTGACTTTTGATGGAGCTCCCCCTCCCAGTTATGTCATTACTTAGTTCTTTGAATCAGAATAAAAAGTGCAGCAAACTTCAGACTCATTGACTGCAGGCTTAACAAGCGTCGGGGCTTCTTTCTGTAGCCTGCAAGGATCTCTGGTTTTTGCAAAAACAATTCTGAGAAAAAAATGGCCAGCTTTCCTTTATGGGCAACTTTTGGATTATGCTTGCTGAAGCTTTGTCTAACAGAGACAGGTAAGTTTTGTATGAATGAAAACTCTTATGATTGCTAATAAGCTTATGCCTCAGACAGCAGCAGTTATTCAGCCAGATAGCTAACAGCTTCCTTGCGTCTATCTTTGTATAGAGTTTTATTATTTGTTAAGAGTTATCAGAGATGCTTTAGTACGGGAAACTTAGCTGTACAATCAAGTAAAGCTGTGTATTGCCTGTAAAGGGCAATTCCAGTTCTATAAAATGTGAATTGTAGATCATTAAAGCTAAGTTTAAACTAGGAACAGAAATACATTAGGGAATTTAGAACAGCTCTGGTAAAGCTCAGTTCAACAATGTGACTGCTGTTACATACGTAGTTTGCTCTCTTGGCTCTGTTTTAGAAAGTTGAGAAAAGGGGGGGTGGGGAAAGCCTCCCCCCTCGTCCCAGCGTACAATAACTGTATTCTTGGGTAGACACGGGCTGAGCTAACAGCTAACACATACCACGTTTGGATGTGGCCACGCTGAACAGAAACAAAGCTGCAATCATCTGGGGCTGAAATTTTGAGAGCTGTTATGCCAGGCATGCTTGTTTCTGACTTCTTAAAGTTTCTTTGGGGTTTACTGATAATATTTCAGACCAAAGGGGTTAGAAGTGACCACAGACTTGAGCTGTTTATCCATTAGCTTTCTGTAGTTCTGTTATCTACTTCAAATATTTGTATTTAAAAGTGAAACATGTTAATATAGGGGGAAAAATAAAACCTGCATGTCCGAAACGGCAAAACGCTCCTGAAATTTGACATGGTGCAGGCTCAATAGTGTTTGAGGGAGATGGCCATGCTTTTAACAGGCTCTCATTGTGACAGCAGCTGCCTTGAGGCATTTTGCGGTTAGGGGTAACAATTATTGTTCTACGCTATTTTTCCACTCATCAGTTCCAGGAGTCCAGCAGAATACATTTTTCATTGCGCTTGTCACCCACGGGCTCTGTGCGTGTCTGTATGTGTACAATACATATATATCTGGTTAGTTGGAGCAGCAGCAAGTTAGTCTATAATGGTGGCAATCTGGCCAAGCCATGAATGGGTGTGTCAGAAGCAACGTCCCAGGCCCATCTGTGATAGCTGAAGGGCTCTCCTTGCTCTTCTTGCTAAAATAGACTTATCAGTGATATTAAAAGACTCTTGCTAAGATCAGCTTGATGGATAAAGCACTCAAAGAAAGGGCGGGTGGTTCTGTAGGCACATGAAGTATATCTGAGATGTGTTTAAAAGTTTGACTTAGTCCAAGTCTGCATACTGTATAAGGCTTATAATGATTTTTTTTTACTGCTTGCTCAACTGATTTTCCCTTTTTTAAGCTGCCAGGAGCGACCTAAAAAAGCGGAGTCTGCACTTCCTCTGGGAATAATACATTTTTACAGTGAGACGTAAAAGAAAACCCCATCATCTAGTCCTCAGTGCAGTTACAAAAAGCATGTCAAGCTTATGCGCCACAGGGAAGTTTCTTCAATGGCTTAGCAAGCTATTAGATTATAGCTGCAATATATTTTAGTTGGTATGTGGTGCATTCCGACATGACTTTGCAGTCAGTAATGACTTCAAAACAGCCGTTGATGGTGGTTTTCTTTTTTAAATGAGTAACTTTACTGTGCATCACAGAATACTGACCATTTCTTCTGGCACATACTTTGCTTGAGGAGCAAAATTCAGACCTGTTCCTGAATTTTGATTCTGTATAGCAGAATTTCGCAAAATTGGAAGGTCCTAGAATTACTGTTAATGTGATTGCTAGAGGAAAGACCAGATCTAGAGAGCTGCTGAAAAAAATGATTGATTCAGACTGTCCTGAGTTCTGTGCTGCTGTAACTGTACTGTCACTGATGTCTGAGTGAGGTGAACGCATGATGGTGACATAACTTTGTTGTCTAAGCAGTCTGAACAGAGCCCAGGAAAATATAGATGCTGACATCTTGCTTAATGGGGGTTCTGGGGGAGATTTTCCCCTGGGGGCATTATATATTTGTAAAAATATTCCTCTCAAAGTTTTCCTTGATTAACACAAAAGCTACTCTAAGAATTTTGTCCCCAAAACTGGAAGTAGTTGGAATGGACCTAGAGGAAAAGGTGAAATGAAAAAAGGAGGGAGAATGGCACCACCAGTGAGAGAGAAAAGTTGGGCTATTAGCACTGGAGAGGTGGCCAGAGCTTCAGTACGATGTAAGGCTGTGAGAAAGGGCTACTATACCTATCAGCTGGTCACAGAGGAAGGGACCTGTCTGCCTTTTAGCTTATATATCTGTCATGTAAATTTGTAAATAAGGCAGCGTGAAGAAGCTCTTTGTGCCAGTTTATTTTCACATAGTCCCTACAGTGTGTATCTTGGCTAGTTTCCCAAAGCTGTAAAGTAACTAGACTTTATTAAAGTTCAGTTGAACTGCCATCATCCTTTAATGGAAAGGTTATATATCTGCCCTTGAACTGCTCTCGCAGACAGAGCCAACAAATCAAGGCAGAAGATTACAATCTTTGGAGAAATGTTTCTACTTCTTTAGGTCACTGCTGTTCACCACAGAGCAGAAGCGTTGCCTTGAAAACAGGAAGCCTCAGAAGGAAGCTTAATGAGGGATGAGAGCATCACAGAAGTGACAAAAAACTTCTTAAACTAAGTGCTTTTAAAACCACTAGTAGTTCTAGCCAAGATTAAGTGAAATGTTTCCCCGTACCTCGCGTGTCTCCTTCCAGAACTGTTCCCATGGCTTTTATAGGCCAGGACTGGAAGACAGCGTTGACGCTGCAGTTGTTTATCTACCACCTATACGTGCTGTAGCAAGAATGTGTCAGAAGGATGAGATGACCTGAGATGCTGGTAGACAAGTATAAACAACAGGTATAATAAAGACTAAAAAGAGGTAGCAGCAGTCAAGTTAATGTATAATAGGAGTGGAGCCTGTAGATAAGTGAAAAGTGAGAAAAAGGAAAAACTGCATGAGTATGGTGAACGTGGCGGAGGAAAAAGATGAGGTGAGCCCTGTGGGATATGGGCAGATTAAAAAGCAGAGGGCAGACAACACAAAGTGGCAATGCTGTTACCGGAAAGGAGATGGTATTCAGAGAGAGCTCCTAGAGAGTAGCGGTAATTAGGTTTGGAAGTAGGTTGCTAAGAGACATTGTTCTTATTAGATAAACACCTTTAACAGACAGTTTGGATATTGCCAATTGTGCCTCTGGGTAACAAGATGGAGTAGAAGACCTCTGGTGACTATTTTTTCTTTCATAAAAGGACAATTTTAGTTCTGAACGTAGTTGAGTGGTGTTGAAATGCCCTACTGAGCAGCAGGGAAAAACAGATGTAGTATTTCCTAAACAATGATATAGGAAGAAGAGACGATAACTAAGCCCAAGAACTTGAAAGTTCTTGGGAATTGTGGAGATGCTGTAACGAGGCTTCTCCATTTGCTTTCTGTTCTTCCTGCCCTGCTTTTCTGTTCTGGCGCTGATGGATAAGTGTTTGAAAGTATAGTAAGAATAGGAGAATGTAATTCTCAACTTCATCTCATATGTATTCTATTATTTATAAAAACATTGTTTTTTAAAAAAGGGAATCACAAATGAGAGAGCTAGAAAAGGTGTTCCACCAAACTCTCCTCTGAAGTTGCTTTTCCCAAGACCAAGACTAAATGTACATAATTACCTGTGAATTGTAATTTCACAAAGACGATAATTATGAAACAAACACAACCAACTGCACCTATCTTGCTGGCTTTAAAAAGAATACAACGTCGTACTGGCCTAATTCATGGTGTTCAAAACACACAATGTCTTAGCATCAGCTGGTAACCAAGAGCATGCTTTAGTCAAATTTCACTTTTTCAGTGCTAAGTTGAATTGTTGGACTACAGAAGTTTAAACTTCCAGCTTAAGATCAGCAAAGTGAGGGAAGCAAGACAGAGGTGGAGGAGTTTGTCGCCAATACCTCTCTGCTAACTGTGTCGCGGCTAGTACTAAGTAAAACTCAGATCTCCAGCCCACTCATTTATTTCTGCCTTTACCTGCCAGGGATTTTTTGTGATAAATCTAGTGGTTTGGATCATTCTGCATGGGTTATCGACAACTGACGGCATGAAGCTACTTTGGAGTAGCTGCTAGCCATTTTTCCAGCCTAGACCAGAAGTTTGCTGGCTGTTAAAACACAGTGGTCTGTGGCTCCCAGGGAGGCAATAACCATGTCAAAGCTAGGCTTACAGCTATCACACCCTGTAATTATCAGTGACCATTATGGCTGCTGTTGATACTGGTAGCAGAGAAGATTGTGTCAGTTCTGAATGTTTATCAGTTTCCTACCCGTCAAATCACAGGCCTCTTTACAGTGGCATCAGCAG